CCCTCCTGCCTTCCCCTCCCAGGTAGCCATCATTACAGCTGTGAGCCACCATACCCTGCTCAGTTGATGCTTTTTCACTGCTGTGTGGCAGATTATTGTATGGGTAAAATACAGTTCACTTATTCGCTTGTGACAGTACAACCGTGTTATTTCCAGGTTTGGCTGCTGTGAACACTCCTGACGTGAGTCCTCGTGTTGCGCACTGACGGCTGGAGTGGACTGACTGGACGCTGGGTCTAACTGAGGCCTCATGGGTACTCCTCGGCGAGAACCCAGCTCCATGCCTAGCTTCCGGGTAGGCTACTGGGTATATAGCGCTATCTGGCAGTTCAGATGCACTTCTTCTTAGTGACTTCTTAGTCACTCAAGTCATTCGTTTTCATAGGCTTATTTGCTGTTCACATTTTTCTTTAGTGAAGTATCCGATCAAACATTTTGCTCATTTTGTCTTGTTTACAGGTGTTTATTTTTATATTCATATTTAGTTTTGGGAGCTGCCAAAATAGTCTCAAAAATATGTGTGTGTTGTGCATGCATGCACATAGATGTGCACACATGTACCAGTCCTGGGGCTTGAACTCAAGAGCCTTAGCACAGTCTCTGAGCTTTTTTGCTCAAGGCTAGTGCCCTACCACTTGATTCACGGCTCCACCTTCGGCTTTTTGGTGGTTAACTGGAGTTAAGTGTCTCACAGACTTTCTTGCCTGGTCTGGCTTTGAACCTCAATCCTCAGGACTCAGCCTCCCAAGTAGCTAGGATTATAGGTTTCAGCTGTAGGTGCCTGGTTCTTACCAGGCTTTTTTTGTTTCAAGGTAATGCTGGCTTCACAGATGAAATGGAAAAGGGCTTAGTGCCACCCATCTGTGTCTTGGAGAATTTGCCAAAGAAACCATCTGGATTCGTAATTTTCTTTGTAGATAAGTTTTTAGCTCCAAATCCAATTTCTTCAGTAGACAGAGTGCTCTCTCTTCTTGTGTGAGTCATCTGTGTCACCCAGGGCATCTGACTGGGTCAAGGTTGGTCAAGTTCTCACCGAGCTGTTTGTAGTGCCTGCTTACTGCAGTTAAAACTGCCAGTGAGGTCTCTGCTCTTGTCCCAGAGGCTCTGGAATTGGAGAACGGAAATCTGTGCCTTCGTTCTGTGTCTCAATTGGTTTTATTCACCCACAGATTTTCCTTCTGCACCAATATCCATTCTACTCTTCATCTTCCCTTTTCTCCTACTACTCTGGGGCCCCTGCTGCTTTTCTTTCACTAACACCAAAGGCCAGGAACCGGAGGCTCTCTCTTGGCAAACAAGCACATGCAAGGCAGTGCTGACCTGTGTCTGTGAGTCTCACTGTGTTGTGTTTTAGTTTTCATTTGATAAATGTAATTCAAAATTGTCTCAATATTTCCCTTTGGAAAAAGAACTTATTAACTTCTAATCTTGGACATTTTATGATAAAATTTTTGGCAATTTATAATGACTTTAGACACATTTTAAAGCAATCTAGAGAAGCACTCAAGTCAGATGAGATGGAGGTCAGCAGACACTGTGTCCCAGCTGACTTGGCTCCAGGTACTTCTTGCCATTTTCCCTGTGGGTCGCCAGCGTCTGTTTTGGGATATTGTGCCATCATACGCAGTTCCTCACTTCCCATCCACCACCTGGGTGGAGCTGACGGTGGAGGGGTGTGGGCAGGCGCGGCTCAGGAGGGGCCGTCTGGGACCGAGTCCTTGGAAAGCATCGGGGCTCTGGAAGGCCGTCCTTCGCCCAGCCTGCCAGACCAGGTCTCCCAGCACCTGCTGCCCCTCGGCCTCAGTGCACGATTCTTCCCTCTCTTCTTCCTCTCCTGGTGTCTCCTTCTCCTCAGTGTGCTTTGAAGCCCAGGTAATCACTGCCACAGCCTCTGGCAGAGCAGCACACAGGGTGCTCCACAGACAAGGGGGCCCACACACCCCAAAGGGCTCCGCCCACAGAGTCCTCAGAGCATGGGGGGGCTGCCAGGCTCCGGCGGCGGCGGCAGGAGCACCCAGGGCTCACGGCCTGTGCTACTGACCCAGCAGCGGCAGACCCAAGGAGTGACTGGGCGGATGGAGCTGGGCTGTGGGCAGCAGTCACGAGCAGGGGAGCCCGGCTCCCAAGCCTCGCAGGATGCGAAGAGGAGAAGGCCCACAGCTTAACACCACATGGAACTTGCTGGAAATTAGGGCCAAGACAATTATGAGAAGGAAGCACCAGGGAAATGAGGCTCAGGGTGAACCGGAAGCATTTCAAAACTATCTCACCCCCTGGTGGGCTGGCTGTTTAAAATAAACAGGAGCAACAAGCTGGCCCTGCACGGGAGGCGTTGCCTGGAACGCTGTAGCCACAGGCATCTGCAGCCGGGCTGGAGCAGCACCTCGCTGTCTGAGGATTATGTGTAACTCGTTCAGCATCATGCGGATGTGAATGGCGAGGCCCTGCTGTCTTCCCGGAGCCCCGTGGGGCGGCTCACGGCGGGCTCTGCCTCTGTGCGCAGCCGGCGGCGGAGGTGGCTGGGACTGCGCCCGGGGCCAGGACCCGTGGCGCACTCACTGACAGCGCCTGGCGAGGCGCCGTCGGGACCCGTCACCTGCCTTAGATACGACCACTCCCCAGACCACAGATGACGACGGCGCAGAAGGTCAGCACCGGAGCACCGGAAAAGCTCATCACCACCAGTCCACGTGCGCTTACATGCGTGCGGTCCTGTGGCACTGGCGTCATGTCTGACCACCGGCCACGCTGTGTCCAGAATCCTCCTCGCTCCTGAACAACCCTCGTCACTTCCCCTGGCCAGCTTTGCTTCAGGTGCCTTTCTGGGCAGGTCCATGGCCAGGTTCTAAGCAATGGTGTGAACAAACACGTGCGTGCGTGGACGCGGACGCCACGCCGCCGGGGAGGGAGAAGCAGCTCCCGAAGGCTCCCGGAGAGAAGCCCTTTGTTCACAGGACTTGGACCCTCAGAATTTGAGTGCCTTTGAGTCATAAAACCGAGCTTTCAGTTTAGCAAGACTGAGTTTTAGACAGGAGGGAGGGACGGCAGGGTGGACGCGAGATGTTTCCGTCTATAGCCTCCACGTCGTGCTCTGCTGGCTGAAACTCCACGGACCGAGGCGCGTGGTCTACTGTGGCGGCAAAGCCGGCAATGCCCCGAGGAGCGGGGATGGCTTGCTGGAGCACACCGGGTGCCGGGGCTCCCGCTCTGTCCTGCAGCTCCGGAACTCACCCTGCTGCCAGCCTCTAAACAGTCACCGCTCATCAGAAGCCTCTTCGTTAGCTAGCAGGGTAAGACTTTGCTGGCATATGTAATATTCTGGTTAACACAGAGCAAGTTATTATTCACTAGGTCCAGCCAGATGCCCAGCAAGGGCCAGCAGGAGTCAAAGTGGAACAGAGGTCAAAGCCAGCCTCACTCGGGACGAGGGGAGACGGGAGGCAGTCCCCAGCCTCGTGATTGCCACCTGAAACTGCCGGGTCGTCTGCAGCACAGCAACTGCTCACAGCCCACCTGTGTCCTGGCCAGCCCAGCCCAGAGGACCTGCAGGCATCGCTTAGAGGGATGCACCTGGCTGTCTGCTGTGTCCCGGGTGAAGAGGTCGCAGCAGAGGAGAGTGTGTGGCGTTGTGGTGGCGCTGTGTGAGGAGCCGCCCACCCAGACCCTCCGCTGTCTGCCCTGACGCCTGCTCCGGACGGTGAAGCGCACACCGCACTGGAGGTGAGCTCAGTGGGTCATCAGGCCCGCACAGTGCCCACAGCAGTGAAGACCTGGCCAGCCAGGGGTGGGAAGGACTGGGTGGGGCCCAGGGTCTGCAGGGAGTGTGGTCGGGGACCCAGGGCCGTGTGTCGGGGTGGGAGTGAGCAAGGGG